TTTTCGATGCCGTCCCTGTTAATTTGGAACAGTTTTTAACATTACATTGACTATCGATAGTTCTATCGATGGTAGCATTTAACACTATCGATAGTATTGCTGGAAACTAGAGATGGGCAAAAGTCGTGCTTTTCTACGTGACACGTCGTGTCACGCTTTTTCGCGCGTGAGCGTTAGCGGCTTTCAGTGAAAAATCACGTAATATCCGTGATCTGGCGTGCCTGAAATTTTCGCGTGCGTGAGTGTGCATGAGTTAGATTTCCGTCAATCACGTCATTTTCACATATGTATGTATGTACTTATTTGTATTTTAATCTAAAATAAATTCGTAAACTTACTGTTTAACTTTCACTAGAGTGGCAACATTTATTCTTTTTCCTTTGACATTGGAGGCATTCTGTAATATTAAGTTAAGTGAATTGATAAACTTCAAAAAAGCTTGNGTACCGAACTCAATAAGAAACTATCAAAGTCCTTAAAGCAACATGTTAAGACACGGTGGAAGTCGTTATTTATAACGCTGTCAAGCATTCACGAAAGGCGACAAGAAGTTCAGCAATTATTAATAGATAGAAATGAGCTTCATAAACTATCTAAAATAAATGCAAATTTGTTGGAAAAATTGTTAGAATTTCTGGCCCCTTTCAAGATGTGTTCTGAAAATTTGAGCGCGGATTTAAATCCAACCATCCATGAGTACGTTCTGTGGTACAAAAAAACTACAAAAGCATTGTGAAGTGAATGCATCTGATTCTGAGGTCATCATCGATTTGAAGAAAAACACAGCAGTTTATATCTGCAGAACAGCGCGAACATATAATGGGGACAGTAAAAGCAATGCTTGAAGATAACTTAGGTAGACATGCACTTGAATAAAAGAGCGTTCGCCCTCAGCACGATTCCCAAATTCTGGATGACGATATTCCTTCTACCTCGAAAAGGGCAAAAACCCGTGCAACTTTTGTCGAATTCAAAGATGCGACAAATGAATCTGCAGAAACAATTTTTGAAGAAATTAATACGGAAATACAGATTTATTTGAAAAAATCGGAAAACAAAAGTTGTGACGATGTTTAAAATTTTGGGAGAAAGCTAAAGATTTGCCCCTTCTTAGAAGTCTTTCAGGCAAATTTTAAACATACCAGCTAGCTCAGCAGCTAGTGAAAGAGTTTTTTCTGTGTCAGGCAGAATTCTGGAAGAAAGACGTACACGACTGCTTGGTGAAAACCTCGACAAAATTTTATTTTTAAACAAAAATATAAGCTAATGTCATTTTAATATTACATACGTTGAATATATATTTATACCAATTCTTTTTATACTCGTAATAGGTACATAAGTATGTATGTATATCTGAAATTTGTTAAAATAATAATAGTGCCTTCAGCCCTTGCTAGGCGTTTGGCCAAGCTTTTGTAATAATACTTGTGTTATAAAAGGCTATTTATATGAAATACTATTTATATAAATAAAGTTTTAATTTCAAAAAAATGTTCGTGAGAAACCGTGCGTGAGCGTGCGTTATGGAAAAAATAGACGTCGTGAGCGTGCGTGAACGTGATTGAAAAAAATATAGCAAGACGTGAGTTCGCGTGATTTAATAAACCATCAACGTGAGCGTGCGTGAACGTGAGCCAAAATTACTCACGTGCNTAATTTCAAAAAAATGTTCGTGAGAAACCGTGCGTGAGCGTGCGTTATGGAAAAAATAGACGTCGTGAGCGTGCGTGAACGTGATTGAAAAAAATATAGCAAGACGTGAGTTCGCGTGATTTAATAAACCATCAACGTGAGCGTGCGTGAACGTGAGCCAAAATTACTCACGTGCCCATCTCTACTGGAAACTATCAACGAGTAATGATAGTTTTTTTCTGACACATGGAAACTATCGGTGGTGGCACTATCGATAGTTTTACAACTCTAATCCCTGATCGTATATCAGCTATAAAATAGGTCGAAAAAACTGCTGTTTGCTATTTGTTCAATAAACATACCTTAAAGTTAAAAGTAAACATACACTGAGGGAAATAATGCATAGTAAAAATGAATAATTTAAATTTGACTAGCAGACCCGGCGAACTTCGTCCCGCCCAAAATTTTTATATATTTTATTGAAACTTTTTGATCCAACATTTTCACCAACAATTCACGTTTAAGATTTTCATTGGCACATTTTTCTGCTAAGATTAAGGTTTGGTGGTCATTTGCCGCTTTAAATAACCTAAGGAAAGTGTTATATCCGTTCTTGAAATTCTCCAGTTGTGCGGCATTTCATAGCACGGTTATTCGCAAAGCGAAATAAATTTTTTCCTCTTCACTCCCTGGCGGCAACAATGACCCGGTTCTATAGTGAATGTCCTAGAAGCTTTACAATATAGTAGGTGGCAATTTCAAAATGGGTGCGAATCATTGTTCTACAGAAATGCAATATACATATACTTATTTCAGACGAAATACCTTAAAAGTTTGAACGCACAATAATATTGGAAAATCACATCCATTGGGCCAATTGCAACGCAGGAGCGTTCGATATACTCAATGGTGCAACAGGTCGATTTAATCTGACCTTCACGGCCCCTTTTCTCACTTGGCTATTTTTAGTAATAGCTCGACTTCAGCACCACTTGGCAGCACGTTTTTGCAATAGTATTGCATACATATTTAAAACATTAGCCAAATCGGATCATAAATAAGATTTTTAGTAATAACTCAACTACAGCGCCAACTGTCGGATTAAATTGTGAAACTAAACCATCCAGAGACCCACTCAAATACACAAAAAGTTTCGTTAAAATCCGTACAACCATTTAGGAGGATTTCACTCACAAACACACCTACAGAAGAATAAAAAAATTCATTCAAAGATAGCTAAAGGTCGGTAGGTTTGTAGGCCTCACACCCCTTTTCAAATAGCCCAAATTTTCTCCATGAGTATGGGCTTGATTTCAACTATATACATATCTCCATACGAAGTTCCAGTACTGTACCATGAATACTTTCAGAGATATGCAGTATAAAAATTCGATTTATATGGGAGGTGCCACGCCCCCCTTTCCAACAGCCTTTCCAACAGCCTCTTTCTTCATGAGTATGCGATTGATTTCTATATATCTCCATACCAAGTTCCAGAACTCCACCATGAACACTTCCAAATATAGGCAGTATGAAAAATTCGGTTTGTATGGAAGATGCCACGCCCCCTTTTCCAATAGTTCCAATTTTTCTCCAAGAGTATGCGATTTATTTCGTACATCTCCATACAAAACTCTAGAACTCTACCAAAAAATTTCCAGAGATAAGCAGTATGAAAAATTCGGTTTGTATGGGAGATGTCACACCCCTTTTTACAATAGCTAAAATTTTTCTCCAAGGGTATGCGATTGATTTCGTATATCTCCATACCAATTTCCAAAACTCTACCATGCACACTTTCAGAGATATGTAGCATGAGAAATTCGGTTTGTATGGGAAGTGCCACGCCCCCTTTACATATAGATTTTTTTCAGCCTAAAACCATCCTTGGGACACGTGCGGCAGGTGGCAGTTTCAAAAAAATCGGTTCAGCCGCTCTCGAGCCTTGCGAAAACTAACAAACGGCTTTCTAAATATAAATTAGTTGAGATATATTATATATTATAATTATATTTTGACAGTATCCGTTGTTTCTGATTGGCGCAAAAAAATCTTGCCTAGTGACGAATTCGCCCCTTGATATGGTCGTTACTTAAAGCTATTTATATTCGAAATTGCATGAAAATTGGAAAACAGGAATCTATAAGCTTATCCAGCCAAAAAGCTACCTACGTACCGAATTTTAAGCAAATCGGACCATAAATACGATTTCTTCGAACAGATCGGTCCCTGGTCCACTTCTCGGACAAAATGGATCATATATGCTAATATATGCTAAAAAGCTACCTACGTACCGAATTTTAAGCAAATCGGACCGTAAATACGATTTTTTCGAATAGATCAGTCCCTGGTCCACTTCTCGGAAAAAATTGACCATATATCCTAATATATGCTAAAAGACTACTTACGTACCGAGTTTTAAGCAAATCGGACCATAAATGCGATTTTTTGGAATAGATCGGTCCCTGGTTCACTTCTCGGAAAAAATTTATGAAATATGCTAATACATGCTAAAAAGCTACCCGCGCACCGAATTTTAAGCAAATCGGACCGTAAATTCGATTTTTTCGAATAGATCGGTCCCTGGACCACTTCCCGGAAAAAATGGGTAATATGTGCTAATATATGCTAAAAAGCTACCTACGTACCGAATTTTAAGCAAATCGGACCGTAAATTCGATTTTTTCGAATAGATCGGTCCCTGGACCACTTCCCGGAAAAAATGGGTAATATGTGCTAATATATGCTAAAAAGCTACTTTCGTACTAAATTTTAAGCACATCGGACTATAATAAGATTTTTTCGAATATACCGGTCCGTGGTCCACCTACCCGAAAAAAAGTAAAAATTTTTTAGCCTAAAACATGGTGGTTACCGAAAGCTATTTGTATACAAAATTTCATGAAAATCGGGACTTCTCTTTATATAATTAGTATAGATTAGCGTTTAAGAATGTTCGTATTAAAAATAATATTTTAATACAAAAATTTATTACGCACGTATCTGACTGTTCACATCTGAGTTTGTATATGTAAGTGTACATACCCAGCCAGCAAAAACTCCGAAAACCGCTCCGAAAAAGGACAAAAAAGTGGATGAAGTGCGAAATTTTTGTCCGTTTACTGATTCCATTTCCGGATACTTTGACGATCCGTTGTCCCTAGTGATAGAACGATACGAGTACCGAGTACAGAATATCGATACTTTTCATGAGTACTGAGTAAATATCGCAAATACCAAAAAGTATCGACTCTTTAAAAACTTGCGTAGGTAAAAAAATTATAATTTTTTTAAATTATATTGAAAAATGTTTAAAAATTACCCCATGGGCATTATAGCGAAAATGTAAATGAACATAACGTTCATTTACTTCAATACTGTCATAACTTTGCTAATTTTTATTAGCAATAACTTCGGAACCATACACCCCACGAACTTGAAATTCGGTATACAGGCATAGCTATGGTAGGTGCTTATAGTAGGCTATAAATAAATGAGTTCGTAAAAGGGGGCGTGGCACATCCCATAGGCGTGAAAATTTTTAACAGCTATAACTTCAAAACCATAAGTCATATGAACTTGAAATTTGGTATGCAGGCACAGCTACGGTAGGTGCTTATAGTCAGGTGCATATGAATGAGTTTATAAAAGGGGGCGTGGCACATCCCGTAGACGTGAAATTTTTTATCAGCTATAAATTCGAACGCATAAGTCACGTGAACTTTAAATTTGGTATGCAGACATATCTCTGGTAGGAGTTTATAGTAAGGTATATATAAATGGGTTTGTAAAAGGGGGTGTGTCACATTCCATAGGCGTGGAATTTTTAACCAGCCATAAATTGGGAACCATAAGTCACATGAACCTGAAATTTGGTATGCAGACATATATATGGGCGGTGTTTAGAATAAAGTATGTATAAATGTGTTTGTTAAAGGGGGATAAATACATATGTATTCCGCTATTAGACCACTCGGAAATTTAAAACTGGTTTTTTTTTTAAGCCATAAAGTCTTTTGACCATTTTGAAATGGAAAGATTAAATCATTTTATTGATCCCGCGATGCTGTTAAACGAAACATGTGCGTGTATAATGAATAAAACTACTTCTGAAATAAGCATTCTACTGGAAAAGTGCAGCTATACTAAAACAGCTAAGCGAATAGGAAGCTAAACGGAATCTATCATAGTAGACTAATTTTAATTTAAAAATTCTATCGTTACTTTGATCCACCTTATATTAGTAATGCAACAAGATTTTTAGTACAGAAAGTGATGATTAATATATAGTATGTAGTTGAAGAAAATAGTTTTCCTCCTCTAATTTGTGCTGAACTGAATATTTGTATTACTGTTTTATATTTTTGATTTGTTTACCCCGAACGACGTCGGGTGCTTTGCTAGTATATGTATGTATAAATATGTATGCAATCGACTTGTATATATGTAAATATATATAATCATTCATCCAGAACTTTATTGAAAACCTATATGAAAATGGATAAAGTTACCGTTTTTGAAAACGGCACTTGCCACGATTTTGAACTTCACGTGCTCTAACTCAGGAACATTCCCCTAATATAGTCGAATCGGAGACTCCATCGTTCCTTATCGATTCAGTTGAATCTGGTTCAAGGACACCGTGCGGTGCTTTGATTGCCTATCAAATTTGTTGCTCACATGCTTACAATCGGCAATCGATAAAAAGTCAATAAACCAGACCGGCCGTCGATTTTTAGCAGGAAGTCGAGAAAACGGCCCTAAAATCATCTTCAGAAATACATAGAGCGCTATTCAAATGAACTGCAGTGATTTTTTTAGATTTCAAGCATTTTGATTTTGGACACTTAAAATATCATAAGTTATCAACAGGGGACAGATTTTATAGAAATTGCCTTTTTTTGTGCTAAACAGAAAGAGTATATTCGATTAAGAATGTCCACGATTTAGCTTTCCGTGATTCCATATAAACACATTTGATGTTGCATTTTTTTGCCTGTTTTAAGATATTTGCCTTTTCTACCTTTAATTGTAAAGGACAAGGAAAAAGCCCTTATTACTGATAATATGAAAGTTTTAAACATTTAACTCGTATCAACTCACGTCGGGTGCACGTTTAGTATATTCAAGGCTTTTTTTCTCGAAAATCTAATGAAAATACTGCCAGAAAACTTCAAAATGCATCTTGTGGCTCAATGTTGCTACAACTATAGAGATTAAACTTTTGCGAGTTAAAAACTCGAAAGGAGAAAATAGTCAAAGGATCAAAGTACATACAAATTTTCCATATAGTGAAACTCCCAGTAGATAATTTCAGGAGTTAAAAGCCCTTCCGAAAGGTATTCCTGAGAGTCAAGAGGCCTTCCACTCTGCATTCCTTTCTCCTTTCTTTTTTATATGGAGTGGCACAAATTAAAGGGCTTTCGCTACCCATGGAAGGCCTTCCAGAACGCTTTTATAGAACGTACTTCAGAAGGCCTTTTGGCCGAGTTTTTTTAAAGTTGCTTCTTTGATTTATAGAAATCATATATCTTTGAAGTATTTGCTTAAGGTTTATGTCAAATATGTGTTATTGCAACTTAAAATGTTTATTGAAATTCATTTGTAATGCTAAATAATACAAATTTATTCATTCGCGTAAATTGTAAATGGATAAGCCCTTCTAGAAGGCATGCAAGGAAGCACCTTTTTCAGCCCTTCTTGGGTAGGCCCCTTAGAATGGCTTTACTTATGACGGCCTACCTAAATTATCTTCTTGGTAGTTCATAGTTTTTCGCGCTTTACTTGTAAAATAAACATTTCTAAAATAAATGTATTTTTTGAATTTTTTTCGGTTTTTTAGTGCCTTCTTTTGTCTTTTTCGCGATTTCTAGTGCCTTTTCCTGCCTATTTCGCTATTTTATTTCGCCCTTTTTTATACGTTTTTAGGTCCTAAAAGTTCGTTTCCTGGCTATCAGTAATTTTTTACCACACAGATAATGAAACGTTGGGCATCTTTGCCCTATGTGAACCCTTTGAGTGCGCAACACAGTATTCAATTACATACATATGTACGTATGTTTTTGCAAAAAAAGGCAATGCAACGCTTGTTTAAAATTCATTGAATGCTAATCAAGAATGCAATCGGCGAAATGGACATTGAAATGCATTTCATTATAAAGTTTCACCGCTTCCCAACAATTACACATGTAGCTGCTAGGAATGTTAATCCCGGACATTTTAAGGTCTCGAAAATCCCGGGATTCTTGGCAAGTTATCCCGGGATTTTCGGGATTTGTAATTTGCACTGATAATAATAGAAACTCCTTTGCTTGACCAGTATTGGCCGCGCGATAGTAAATTTTAAACACAAATATCAATATATTCGCGAAACCGTGGGCCAAATATAGTAAAATTGCGTTTTTAGTTTTTCACTCTGACGTCAGTAATTCAAAAATCATTAAAAAAATTCAAAGAAATTTGCTTAGAGAAGAAGTATGGGTATAAAATAAATGGGGAAGTCATGTAGAATTTAAACAGATTCAAGTTTCTAGTGCAAAAGGGCTTGTAAATATTGAAAATGTCATTTTAAAATTTTATCCTTAAAATTTCGCAATATTTGTTTTTGAAAAAAAATTATATGTTAAGGGCTTATATAAACTCGATAACATCCTCGAATTTCGTTCTTCTTACTTGTTCAGCTTAAAAATTACCTATGCGTCCTTGTGAATCGAAAAAAATTAAATTTTTTAAATTCTAAAGACATTTCCTATTGCATTTGTTACCCATATTTTTATTCTACATTGCATTGATTTTTTTAATAATTTTTGGAATTAATCTATCTTTGAAATTACAAAGTCCTTATTTTAAGTCCTGCGGTCAGAGAGAAAAAATAAAGACGCCACTTTAAATAAAAAGTAGGTTTCAAACCCATTCATTTATTATTTATTTCATGGTAGGAGAGCTTCTCAAACAATATAGAAGCAATTTTTCGATTCAGGTTGTTGAAAAGTAATGAATATCTAAATCCCGGGACTAATCCCGGGATCCCGTTATTGTAACAACGCCATCCCGAAAATCCCGGGATCGGAAAAAGACGAAAAATTAACATCCCTAGTAGCTGCATGACGGTCTTAGAAAAGTGACACGGTTGGTAGACATTTCTGCCCTTCAGATACTGGCACATGTACAAAATTTACATGCATTAATTCGTCTCACATCTTTGAACTTTGAGTTCTGTAAACACATTTGCAGGATATACATGATATCATAAATTAAGTAGAATTGTCAAGAAGTAAATTTAATAAACTTTCTTTACGATTAATATTCGACTGACTCGCCCCGCATTTCGATATACATATAAGTCATTGGAAAAAAAGGGNTGCGCAAGTTAGACTTTTTCTCCAAGTGCGGTTTAGAAATAAAAGACACTGATGCTATATATTTTGACGTTTTGGAATGCACCCAACATTTCAAATTTAAATTATCTATTAAAATATCACAAGCTTCAGCTGTCATGGCNCATTAAAAAAATTCAAAGAAATTTGCTTAGAGAAGAAGTATGGGTATAAAATAAATGGGGAAGTCATGTAGAATTTAAACAGATTCAAGTTTCTAGTGCAAAAGGGCTTGTAAATATTGAAAATGTCATTTTAAAATTTTATCCTTAAAATTTCGCAATATTTGTTTTTGAAAAAAAATTATATGTTAAGGGCTTATATAAACTCGATAACATCCTCGAATTTCGTTCTTCTTACTTGTTCAGCTTAAAAATTACCTATGCGTCCTTGTGAATCGAAAAAAATTAAATTTTTTAAATTCTAAAGACATTTCCTATTGCATTTGTTACCCATATTTTTATTCTACATTGCATTGATTTTTTTAATAATTTTTGGAATTAATCTATCTTTGAAATTACAAAGTCCTTATTTTAAGTCCTGCGGTCAGAGAGAAAAAATAAAGACGCCACTTTAAATAAAAAGTAGGTTTCAAACCCATTCATTTATTATTTATTTCATGGTAGGAGAGCTTCTCAAACAATATAGAAGCAATTTTTCGATTCAGGTTGTTGAAAAGTAATGAATATCTAAATCCCGGGACTAATCCCGGGATCCCGTTATTGTAACAACGCCATCCCGAAAATCCCGGGATCGGAAAAAGACGAAAAATTAACATCCCTAGTAGCTGCATGACGGTCTTAGAAAAGTGACACGGTTGGTAGACATTTCTGCCCTTCAGATACTGGCACATGTACAAAATTTACATGCATTAATTCGTCTCACATCTTTGAACTTTGAGTTCTGTAAACACATTTGCAGGATATACATGATATCATAAATTAAGTAGAATTGTCAAGAAGTAAATTTAATAAACTTTCTTTACGATTAATATTCGACTGAC